TGTAATTTCCTTTCAATTAAGTCATGAACTTGCAACTAGAGTTTAAATTTACTTTTTCATACTTAGGGGGAGATTGTTAGCTCTCATTCCTTGAATGTAAAAGTATRGAAAAAGTAAAACAGCAAGTTTTGACAGAAGCTGATCTGTCACAGAAGACCACAGAGGACAATCAACAGAAGAAGCTCAATCGTACAAGATTCAAGTAACATAACCTCTGTCATCCATCACAGAAGTTCTGGAAACTTGTCTTCTGCAAAGACCATGCTACAAGTCAAAGACGACAGAACCTCTGTCGTGTCTCACAGAGGTTCTGGAAGATTTCCTCTGCATGCTACAAAGTTYCATCCAGCAGAGCCTCTGTGATGTCTCACAGAGGATCTGCAGAAATATCTTCTGTGTAGATTATCTTTAGCTCGTTTTACTTAAGTTTATTAGCTGCTCGTGACTTTCACGTGATCTTGTCTGTAATCTGTTTTTAGATAAACGGCTTAGATTTAATTGCTTTAGGTCGTGTCAGGAAACAGTTACTTGCCTGTATAAATAGCAGCGTAGGCCTTTGTATTTTGTGTGCTTCCAGAATTGTAATTGTCAATATTTTCAATCAATTGAAAATCATTTGAAGCTTTTCTCTTCGTGTTATTCAAGTGTTCTTCATCGTGTTCATACCGATTGCTGCTTGTTTGATTATAATACTTTCCGCTGCTTACTCACTGTCAATCCGATCAATCAAGTAAGTATTCAGTACCAAGAACTGAGTTATATAATCCTAACAGGATTCGTCTTCCTTATAAGGAAAGGGGGATCTTACTCCTACCAGTGACGCGTTTTAAAGCCGTGAGGGGTTGTTACCGGGAGGGGCAGCCCAAAGCGGACAATATCATGTGGGCGGTTCCCTAGTATTGGTCCAACAATTGGTATCAGAGCTAGGGCCGCACCAATGTGGGGGGGGGGAATGTTGGGACTTCCGCCTCATTGTTCCCTCGAGTCGGTCAAATCCGCGATTCTTAAACCCAACGCTCCTGTAGCAATGCAGGAGCATCCCACATCGGTGAGGCTAGGGGGATTCGTCTTCCTTATAAGGAAGGGGGGATCTTACTCCTACCAGCGATGCGTTTTAAAGCCGGGAGGGGTTGTTGCCGGGAGGGGCAGCCCAAAGCGGACAATATCATGTGGGCGGTTCTCTAGTATCGGTCCAACACACTTCAAGGAGGATTAGGTACACGACTTGATCTAAGTACTTCATACCACCCTCAAATGGACGGACAGACGGAGAGAACAATCCATACACTGGAAGACATGTTACGTGCATGCGCCATAGATTTTGGTGGAAGCTGGGATATGCACCTTCCGCTAGTCGAATTTGCATACAACAACAGCTACCATGACAGTATTCAGTGTGCGTCTTATGAAGCATTATATGGACGCAAGTGCAGATCTCCACTCAGTTGGCTAGAAATTGGCGATCGGCAGTTAACTAGACCTGATGTTATCCAAGAGACTACTGACAAGATTGTAATTATCAAGGATTGACTCAAGGCTGCAAGAGATCACCAGAAAAGTTATGCTAATAATCGGAGGAGACCATTAGAGTTCCAAAAAAGAGATAAAATACTCTTGAAACTCACCATGGAAAGGAGTAATGCGTTTGGGAAAAGAGGTAAATTGGGTCCCCAATATATTGGTCCATTTGAAGTAACTGAGAGAATTGGACCAGTGGCATATAAGTTAAATTTGCCACAAGAATTAAGCGCTATTCATGATACATTTCATGTATCAAACCTCAAAAAGTGCTTAACCGATGAAACACTGGTCATACCATTGGAAGATGTACAAGTTAATGATCATCTGCGCTTCGTTGAAAAACCAATAGAAATCATGGATAGAGAAGTCAAGCAGTTGAGGCGTGGCAAGATCCCAATTATAAAAGTTCATTGGACTTCGAGGCATGGATCGGAGTACACGTGGGAAAGAGAGGATTTTTATGAAAAACGAGTATCCCCACTTGTTCTGAAACGAGTCTTAAACTAGGATCTGACGAATAAAATTTCGGGACGAAATTCTTCCGGCATGGGGAGACTGTGACATCCATCATTTTTGGAGCGTCAGGTTAGCACCTTTATAGGGTTTTTATATTTAGAATTATATTTTATTAGGATCTAGTCATGTTGATTAGAATTCATCTGGCTTAGTTCCTAAAATATAGTTCAGAAAACCTTGTTTCGTCGGATAACTGATAAAGTTAACTTATGTAATGCCAAATACATTAAAAAGAGTTATGGAAGTTCCTTTTGACAGTGATTTGTGTGACCAAAATTCCAGAAACAGAATTTGCATTCTGTCCAAGTGGTAACTCTATGTGCAAAGGACTTTGATTTTTAAAATGTATAATTTATGGACTATTTTTAGAGTAAATGATATAGGTATCAACTTTAATTCATAAAAACTTATTGGCATTACATAAGATATAATTTGACTTTATCTTTATCGAGACCCGATAGGTGACCTAATTTTTGGATTTCGGACTGTTTAGAAAAGTTAGGGCGGACGTGTAGTGCTTCAAACGTCATCAAATTATTGGATATTCATCAGCAAACTTGTGAGAATTCACGGCCCCACTTTTACTGCTTTTTGTTTCTTTAAACTAGGGGAAAAGCATGAAGTTATGCAAACTATACTGTTTATTGTAAAACTGTTGGACTAAAGAACTGTTTAGTCAAGATTTGTTGAAGTTATGAAAAATTGACTGTATTGCACTATGGT